TTCTCCTTATTCTCCCTACAATAATTATAATGCAAAACAAAGTAAAATAAGAAAATAAGAGAAGTACAAAGTTTTATGTGACATCAGAGGTAGGAAAGATTATTTCTGCAGGTGTGTGGAGGTAGCATTTGGGTGGGACCTTAAAGGATGGGCAAGATTTCAAAAAGTGAAGTCAGGGGTGTTGTGAGGAGTAGAACAGCATTCCGGACATATGGGAACAATGTGAGCAAGGGCACTGAGGATGCATTAAGTGTGTTCAAAGCAATGATAAATCCAATTTGGCTGGTATGTACTAATTTTAGAAGGAAATTATGGGAAATTAAGCTGGAAAGATTAGGAGGTACCAGGTTTGGGATGGATTCTAATTCTAGACAAGGGAGTTTGGACTAATAGAAAGGAGGGAGCTACTTACAGGTTTTGAAAAGTAGCATGTTCAGATTTGCATATAAGGAAGATTAAATTGACTGGGGCATTTAGTGTGGATTGGAGGGAAGACCAAGTGAAAATAGGGAGCTGAGTTAGAAATCTATTGCTATAGTATAGGGAGGAGGTGGTAATGAGGACTGTCCAAGAATAGTGACGGTGGAAATGGGAAGGAAAGATCTTAATGGTGCATAAAGCATGGGCTGGTGCGCTGGCATACCCTGGGAAAGCCTTCCCATTGATCTTTTCCCTCAGGAAAGAAGGTTCCTTGGTGAGATAGAAAGTTTAAAAGAGAGTGAATTTTTTTGTTGGGTTTTTGTTGTTGTTGAGTCATTTTAGTCATAATTTGAACATTTAGGCAAGATTTGAACTCAAAGATGAGTCTTCCTGATTCCAGACCCAGCACTGTATCCACTGTGCCACTGTTTTGTTTTGTTTTGTTTTTAAGGATTATTAAATACTCTTATCGGAGCAGCTAGGCGAGTGCAGTGGATAAAGTGCCAGGCCTGGAGTCAGGAAGACTCATCTTCCTGAGTTCAAATCTGTCCCAAGACACTTACTAGCTGTGTGACCCTGGACAAGTCACTTAACCCCATTTACCTTAGTTTGCTCATCTTTAAAAATGAACTAGAGAAGGAAATGGCAAACCACACCAGTATCTTAGGCAAGAAAACCCCAAATGGAATCATAAAGAGTTGAACACGACTGAAAAATGACTGAAAAACAAAAATACTAGCAGTAATTTTTATGGGAGCAAAGAGTTGGAAATTTAAGTAGGCATTCTTTGTTTGGGGAATGGTTAAGCATTGTAGTATTTGAATGTACCATAGGAAACAACAAATATGAAGAATTCAGAAAATTATTGTTATTGATTCAAATGAGAATTAGAATAATTCCCATAATTATTACATAATATAATTTATATGATTATTCAGATAATACTAATACTATTATTAACTCGGAGAATTAAGACTTATATGAATTGATCTAGAGTGAAGTAAGGAGGACCAGGAAAATTATATGCACAGTGAGTATAATAATATGAATTGAAGAAATCAAATCAACAAATAAACAAAACCAAATGCTGCATAAATATAGTCACAAAGCTTGGCAATAGAATAGAGTTGAGAAAATACTTCCTTTTTTTGCAAAGGTGGGGAGCTATGGCTGTGTAATGTTACAAATACTTTCTGAAGTTGGTTAGTTTTACAAAACTACCTTTTTTTTTAAATCTTTGTTATAAAGGATGGCTTGATAGGGAAAGTGGGGAGGGTTATATTCAGAAATATAATATTATAAAAAGAAAAGGTATCAGTAAAAATTAATTTAAAAATCATTTTGGGAAACTTTGATCATATTTGTAGGCAGAAGGAAAAGAAAGGGAGATATTGAAGATTACTTAGTTAGAGGGGACATGATTGGTCCAGCAAAGTCCTAGAAGGGGAAAAAGATGAGGGGAAGTGGAATAAAGTGCGCAGGTGGAAGAGTTAGCCTTAGAGTTGATACAGATTTTCTTCTGATATAACAAGGAAGGAAAGAGAGAACAAGTAGACACTGAAAAACTTGGTGGATAGTATTTACTTTTTCTTTCTCTTTTTTTAGTCATTTACTCCCTACAAAGTGGGAGGAAGTAAGATCATCTGTTGAATATGGAGGGACTGAGGGTTTGAGAAGAAAGTCATAAAATGTGTAGAAGATTAATGAGTAGAACTTGATGATATTCCATTAAGCTCCATTGGGTTAACAGTACAAATATTTAGTGAAGGGAATCAGATCAATTTTTGAGCCTTACTCCAGCAGTAGTACCATAGCCCATGAGTGCTAGGGAAAAATCTGACTGGATTAGTTTGAAATTACAAGGCCAAAAAAGTAGGGACAAAATGATTGAAAGGAGCAGATACTTAAGGTTCCAGTTTGTAAGTAGTCTTTTCTCCTTGTAGTTTAGGGCCTATAGATTTGGGTTAAAGAGAACAACTCATCCGTTGCTCTAATGCAGAGGTTTTTGTAAATCATCATCACCACTCAGTATTTACTGAGGGAGGACTCATTATTTATAGCTGTCAGAAGGTTTCCTCAAGATATTTTACTAAACATAGCACAGTGAGACTAAAGGAATGCTGGATTTGGAGTCCAGGGCCATTACAAAACTATCAATTTGGAAGGGTGAAGACCCTTAGAGTTTCTGGCCAGAGCAGAAAACAATTGGTCCTTCTAAGCCATCAAAACCTAAACAGTGAGCCTTGGAGGCTTGGGTGGGGGCTATTATTGTCCATTCTGTGAGAGCCAAAGTGATTTAGGTTTAAAGGTGTAGTCAGATATCTCTATTTGAAACACAGTAGTGTTTTTAAAGCCTATTTTTAAGAGCTATATTTCAAAAAATCATAAATGAAAACTCATAGGACAAAACGTTAATTGTCCTAGCTTTTCTATTTCTATTTATTTTATAGGAGGAAATAGACAGTAAAACTATACTAGTGAGGGACCTCAACTTTGCTCTGTCAGAACTAGATAAATCTAACCATAAAATAACAAGAAAGAAGTTGAGATGGATAGCATTTTAGAAAAGTTAGATATGATAGACATATGGAGAAAATGGAATTTTTTCTCAGCTGTACGTGGCACCTACACAAAAACTGATAATACTAAGGCATAAAAACCTCATAACCAAATGTATGAAAGCAGAAATATTAAATGCATCCTTTTCAGACCACAATTCAGTAGAAATTACATTCAGTAAATGGCCATGGAAACATATATTAAAATTAATTGGAAACTAAATTGAACAAGTAAAAAATGAATCCCCAAAGGAAAAAAAAGCATAGACCAAGTGAATGCTACCAAACATTTACAGAAACATTAATTCCATTACCACCTAAAGTGTTTGAAAAAACAGGTAAAGAAAGAGTCCTGCCAAATTCCTCCTGTGACATAAATATAGTCTTAATATTTAAACCAAGGAGAGTCAAATGAGAGGACTGATTTTTCTAGTGAATATTGATGCCAAGTGTTACATTATTGTTAATAGTGGTTACAGACATCCATGCTTTACTAGATTTTATAGATAAAGCCTTTAACTTTAACATAAAATGTTTGATCCCATAGTATCCATAAATGATTTACTTCCTCCCCCCAACCCCCAATCTTCCTGCCTGCATGCTGAATGTTGCTGGATAAAGTCATGAAATCAATATTTTACCTTCTGTAAATTTACGATATATGACCTCAGATAGTTCCTCACTGCTGCCCAGAAATAATTGGCCAAATGGATCCCCTCTGTGTGTGTGTTTCTATAAGAGTTTTCTGTGTACCCTCTTTTCCTAATGACACTATGTGTAGTTGTATGAAAGTGTGCTCTTGGTTCATGGGATGGGAAGATGTTTTGTTACTATTGATCTTATAATACTATTTCAATAAATATCTTTCCTCTGAGCTAATTGGGTCAACTGCCTACCTGACTATTAAAAGTATTGTTAGGGACAGCTAGGTGGTGCAGTGGATAGAGAACGGGTCCTGGAGTCAGGAGGACCTGAGTTCAAATTTGGCCTCAGACTCATAACACTCACTAGCTGTGTGACCCTGGGCAAGTCACTTAACCTCATTGCCTAGTCAGAAAAAAAAAAGTATAGTAACTCATGGAGATTGTGAGCTATGTAGCTTTAAGATTATGGGCCTACAAAGTACCTTGAAATTAGTAGTTGTTATACTGTGGAGATGAAATCTATAAGAGTGGATTTGGTGAGGGAGGGAGAAGCACAGAGGTGTCACTACATACAGATGAGTAAACTGAGTCCCAAAGAGGGGAAGTCCAACATCAATTAGATGTGGTAAGTGTCAGGACCAGAATTGAAATCTGGATCTTCTGACTATAGTTTTATTGGGGTTTAAAAAAAAAACCAAAACCTTAAAAATCATTACTTTATGATTGCTTTGTATTTCTTGTTTTGATTTATCTATGACTGTCATTATAGAGGATTGTTGTCTAGTTTCATTGTAGGATACCTACATAGATGCTATATAATAGCATTTACCCCTTCTTTCCATGTATCTCCTCTTCCCCATCCTCCAAAGAGGCTGAATTGGAACATATATCTATGGCATTATTTATATAAAAGCCTTGGCAATTTGTGTCAGCCCTATGGAGAATTCTAAACGTTAGCCAAACTGAGTCAATTAGTCCTAAACTGAGTATGAAATGAATGTTTCAGGAACCTAAATTAACTAGATCAGAGATTCTTAACCTGGTATCTGTGAATTTTTTTTTTTTTACAGATTTTTTTTTATAATAGTTTCAATATAACTGATTTCCTTTGTAATCCTATGTATTTTATTTTACATATTTAAAACATTATTCTGAGAAAGGATCTATAAATTTCACCAGGCTGCTAAGGAGATTCATGCTACAAAAAAAGTTAAGAACCCCTGACCTAAAAAGTCCACTATTTAATTATACCAGATATCCCTTCTGTCAAAATCATTTTGCGCATATGTACACATATGTACACATACATATATACATACAGAAAAATGATGAACAAGCATAGGAGTTATTGGAGGTTGGGTAAGGTACTCATACATACTTTTTGCTCTTTTCGTTCTACAGCCATGTTGCATTTCTCTATTCCATGGTTTCTCAAAAAGTCTCGGAGGTAGCCAAATAATGTTCCAATTCCATAACCCAAGTAAGTGAAAATAGCAGCGTACATTGGTACTTCTTCAAAAGATTCAACAAATGGCTTATTATAGAAATGTGTCTTTCCATTTTCCTGAAAATGTAAAAGAAAATCTCAGGTTAATGTAGTCTAGCTTGTCAATTGTTTACATCTACATTAGGCAGATGTGCTGGTGATTTTCTTTTTCTTTTTTTTAAAGATACATACATTTTAATAAAATATAAATCATCAATGACCAGAAGAAGCCATACCCTTAGAATCTTAGTAATAAAAATTAAAACAACTTTTGGTACTACATATATGCAGGGAATTGGTAAAGATACTAAAAATGATAAAATTCCAAATTGGTAGATCTATGGATAGACAGATACTCTGTTATCCTTCTGTTGAGACTGAATTGGTGCAGTCTTTTTGCAAAGCAATCTGGAAATACTGAACAAGACTCATAGTATTCTTCATGCCCTTTGACCTAGTTTCTTTTTTTTAAACGTTTATTAGTTTATTTATTTTTAGTTTTCAACATTCACTTCCACAAGATTTTGAGTTCCAAATTTTCTCCCCATCTCACTGCTCCACCCACCCCCAACACAGCGTGCATTCTGAATACCCCTTCCCCAATCTGCCCTCCCTTCTATCACCACCACCCCCCCCCTTCTCTTATCCCCTTCCCCTTCTGTTTTCCTGTGGTAGGATAGATTTCTATACCCCATTGCTGGTATATCTTATTTCCCAGTTGCATGTGAAAACAATTTTTAACATTTGTTTTTAAAACTTTGGGTTCCAAATTTTCTGCCTTCGTCCCTCCCCGGCCACCCTCATTGAGAAGGCAAGCAACTCCATACAGGTTATATATGTGTAGTCATGCAAAACACTTCCATAGTAGTCATGTTGTGAAAAACTAACTATATTTCCCTTCATCCTGTACTGCCCCTCATTTGTTCTGTTCTCTCTTTTGACCCTGTCCCTTCTCAGAAGTGTTTACTTCTGATTACCCTCTCACCCAATCTGCCCTCCCTCCTATCATCCCCACCCCCTACTCTCTTATTCCCTTTCCCCCTATTTCCCTGTAGGGTAAGATAAATTTCCATACCCAATTGTATGTTATTCCCTCCTTTGGCTAAATCTGATGAGAATAAGATTCACTCATTCCTTCTCACCTTCCCCCACTTCCTCTCCACTGTAAAAGCTTTTTCGTTCCTTTTTCATGTGAGATAATTTACCCTATTCTACCTCTCCCTTTCTCCTTCTCCCAGTATAATCCTCTCTCACCCCTTAATTTTATTTTTTAGATATCACCCCTTCATCTTCAACTCACCCTGTGCCTTCTATCTATCTATTCGTATAATTTTTTTTCCCTCCAACTACCCTAATACTGAGAAAGGTCTCATGAGTTACACATATCATCTTTTCATGTAGGAATTGTAAACAATTCAACTTTAATAAATCCCTTATGATTTCTCTTTTTTGTTTACCTTTTCATACTTCTCTTGACTCTTGTATTTGAAAGTCAGATTTTCTATTCAGCTCTAGTCTTTTCCTCAAGAATGATTGAAAGTCCTCTATTTCACTAAATGTCCATTTTTTCCCCTGAAGGATTATACTCAGTTTTGCTGGGTAGGTGATTCTTGGTTGTAATCCTATCTCCTTTGACCTCCAGAATATTATATCCTAAGTTCTCTAGTCCCTTAATGTAGAAGCTACTAAATCTTGTGTTATCCTGATTGTGTTTCCACAATACTTGAATTGTTTCTTTCTGGCTGCTTGCAATATTTTCTCCTTGACCTGGGAACTCTGGAATTTGGCTACAATATTTCTAGGAGTTTTCCTTTGGGGATCAGTTTCAGGAGGTGATTGGTGGATTCTTTCCATTTATATTTTATCCTCCAGTTCTAGAATATCAGGGTAATTTTCCTTGATAATTTCTTGAAAGATGATGTGTAGACTCTTTTTTTGATCATGGCTCTCAAGATAGTCCAATAATTTTTAAATTATCTCTCCTGGATCTCTTTTCCAGGTCAGTTGTTTTTCCAATGAGATGTTTCACATTGTCTTCTGTTTTTTCAATCTTTTGGTTTTGTTTTACAAGGTGTTGATTTCTGTTAAAGTCACTACCTTCCAATTGCTGCATTCTAATTTTTAAGGAAGTATTTTCTTCATTGAGCTTTGGACTTCCTTTTTCATTTGGCCAATTCTGCTTTTTAAGGCATTCTTCTTATTGACTTTTTGGACCTCTTTTGCCATTTGGGTTAGTCTATTTTTTAAGGTGTTATTTTCTTCATTTTTGGGGGGTCTCCTTTAGCAAGCTGTTGACATGTTTTTCATGATTTTCTTGCATCATTCTCATTTCTCTTCCCAGTTTTTCCTTTACTTCTCTTACTTGCTTCTCAAAATCCTTTTTGAGCTCTTCTGTGGCCTGGGACCAATTCATATTTTTCTTGGAGGCTTTGGATATAGGAGCTTTGACTTTGTTGTCTTCTGTATGATTTGATCTTCTTTGTCACCAAAGTAAGATTCTATGGTCTGACTCTTTTTGTGCTGCTTGCTGACTCTTTTTGTGCTGATCCCAGCCAATTACTTGAGTGATAAACTCTTTGTTAAGGTAGGGGTCTGCTTCCAGTTTGGAGAATGTACTGTCCCAAGCTTTGGGGGTTTTGCGCAGCTGTTTTCAGAGATACTTCTAGGGACCTGTAAGTTTTCAGTTCTTCCAAGGCGATATGATCAAGAGCCAAGTGTTTACTCCTTTCCTGGCCTGTGCTGTGGTCTATGAGTGACCACAAGCCCTCTTTTCTGCCTTGGAACTATGAGAAGAATTTTCTCTCCACTGCCGCTATGAGCTCCACTATGCTAGCCCTCTTCCTCACCCCAGGACCACCACCCAGAACTGCGACCCCGATCCAAGCATGGACAAAGCAAGAGAATCCTGTCTCAGCACCAGCAAAAAGATCCCTGCAATCCCCCCCTAATCAGCCACTTGCTTCCCTCTCAGTCTGTTGTCCAAGAGCTCTGGAAGCAGCTGCCACCCCAGAGCTGGGACTGGGGCTGAGACCAAGCTTCTCTGTCACCGACGTCAGTAGACCTTTCCTACTGACCTTCTAAGTTGTCTTTGGCATTTGTAGGTTGAGATATCTGGAAACCGCCTCAGCTCCCCTTGATTCAATCCCCTGAGAACTGCTCCAGGTTCACCAAGGCCCTGTTTTTTACCTGTGTGGCCCAAGCTGAATTGTGCTCTTCTCCCAGTCTGGTGCAGAAGACCTTTCCAATCAATCATTCAGGTTGTCTTGGGCTGAAAATTTGTTTCACTCAGTCTTTTTGTGGGTTCTACTGCTCTAGAATTTTTTTAGAGCCATTTTTTATAGGTATTTGGAAGAGTTTGGGGGAGAGCTCAAGCAAGTCACAGCTCTTACTCTGCCATCTTGGCTCCGCCCCCTGTGCTGGTGATTTTCAATCCAGTTTTCTAAGTCTTCAGGTGGTAAAATATGTTTGCTTCTCAGTAGTTTAGTTTGAGTTAGAAGAATTGTCTGGCAGCTAAACGGGGAAGTGGATAGATTACTAGACCTGGGGTCAAGAAAACCTGAGTTCAGCTTCAGCTTTGGACACTCACAAAGTGAATGACCCTGGGCAAGTCACTTAATCTCTTTTTGTCTCAGTTAACTCAACTCTAAGAAAATGGGGACAATAATAGCACCTACCTCACAAGGTCGTTACGAGGATCAAATGATATAAAATTTGTAAAAGCAATTAGCACGGTATCTAACACATAGTAAGTGCTCTATAAATTCTTATTCCTTTCCTAAATACATGGAATAGTAAAATATAAGAAGATGGTCAATAAGGTATACCTAAAGGTGTCAGCTTCTTGTGAAAAGTAATAGCTTCATACCAGTAACAGCAATCATACTTGAATAAAGTAGATAAAAAATGCTTATTTTTCTAGATAAGCCTTTTGCAAAGTTTTTGATTGTTCATATCTATTGATAAAAATTTTTGAATTGTAAACTCCAATATGTTTATATTTTAAAATTTTATACATTTATTACTATGCTAATAGTTTTTTATATTATTAAATTTACACAATAGAAATTTGAAAAGGATGATTAAGATGAAATATTATCTAGTAATGGTGTACAAAATACCTTTTTGTGCTAGCAGATATTTTTATTTACATGGATAGACATTAGACCTGTGATTTTATGGATATAGAGAATTTCTAGATAAGGAAACTTCTACCTTCTGTGTACTTTATAGTATCAGAGACATGACCAGAACATTGGGAAATTGAGTGACGTGCCTGGGGTCAGAATGAAATATGTGTTAGAGGCAGTATTTGTTCTCAGATTTTTGTGACTCCAAGACAAAGCTATGCCATACTTCCCTTTCATTATTGTTAATAATAGTATTTTTATCCAAGGGTCTTCAAATAGGATTATTTCTGTTGTTAGATCTTCCTAGGGGTCTTCAGTAATCTTGATGTGTGTGTGGGAGACACGTTGTTGTAAAAGAAACTCTCAGGTTATATTTTGTTCTATGGAATAAACATTTTTTCTTATGTAATCAACAAACAGTAAGCACAATAGGATTTTTTATCCTCTACATATTTTAGTTTATTATGAAATGGAAAGATGTGCTCCATTGTTGAGTATCTCTTTTAGAAGTCTGCTTATTCCCTACTAACATCAAGGATGACTCTGATTTGTTTACAGATGACTCTAATGAAGATTTTGTAAAGGTGTGCAGATGGGCATAAAGGTCAGTAGATAACTGATGTTTCCTAAGTCACCTCTGATAATACACATAACAGAGCTCATAAATGAGGGAAGTGTATGTTTGCCAAAAGGAATTTGCTACTGTGATGGAGGTGAACCAGCACACAGTGCAGGTAAAAGAGGGATTTCTTGTCCTCCAAATGCTTCTATTTACACATGATATTGTGCTAACAACAATAATAATAATAACAATAATAATAATATTAATAATCAGCCCCAGTCAAGTCTTTTGGAACATATCTATAATAATTCAAAGGATTTTGGCTTGTTTGTCCACACAGAAAAGACTAAGTGAATGAAGACTGTCTATTGCCAAGATTTCAACATGCA